TTACTCACAGCAATACATCCAGCAAGAGACCAAAACCACCATCATAAACAAACCTTTAGACATCATGATTTTAAATATTTAAACATTTTACACAATTTTAAAATCTTTTTTTTATGTTTATTCCAAACAAATCGACTAAAACAATTCCCTAACCAAAACAACATTTATATTTATACTCTATGACTATCCTTGATTTTTCAATTGCGGCCGCCAATTAGGAAATAATTGGAAAATCATAGTAATTTTTTTGACAATAGATCTCTTATTACAATATATTAGTAAAAATGCCGAATAATGTTGTAGGTACTCTACTGATGATTTCGTCAATTAATTGCCCAGACAATGGTAATAGATCCATTGTTAATAATAAACAATTCTTTCTGTATTTTTGTAACATTTTTATTAAATTTAATATGTATTTCAAATCATCAAATGTTGATATCACAATCTATTTAAAAACCAAAATTTCAAAATGATTTTTTTTTATATTTTGTCTCCAAAGATGTAATTCAAGTTACTTTTCTCTATCAGTGTTAGCTAAATATTGCAAGAACAATTTTCTCTATATTTTTATAACTAAATTTAATAGATCTATTACATAAACTAATATTGTTGAAATTACAAATATAATCAAAAATAAGTTTTCAAAGTGGAATGTCGATGTTATTTTCCTTAAATTTGGGAATTTAATAATGTGTTGTAGGTAATCTACTGATGATTTCGTCAATTAATTATTACCCAGACAATGGTAATGGATCCATTGTTGATAATAAACAATTCTTTCTATATTTTTTTGTAGTATTTTTATTAGATTTAATACATATTTCAAATCAACAAATGTTGATATCACAACAATTTAGAAACAAATTTTCAAAGTGATATTTCTACATTTTCTCTACAAAGATGTAATTCAAGTTACTGTTCTATATCATATTGAGCAATATTAAACGAACAATTTTCTCTATATTTTTATACCTAAATTTAATAGATCTTTTACAACATCAACTGATATTGTTGCAATCACAATCTATTCAAAAATAATTTTTTAAAGTGGAATGTCGATGTTATTTTCTTTAAATTTGGGACTTTCACAAGCAACTGCTTTGGCAGCCAATTCGCATTCATCAGCATCCACGACTTCTTTTGCACATTCTTGAGCGATTTCCTTGATCTAAAAAATAAATTATTATTGAGAAAAATTGTTTAGAATGTTTAAGATAATATTTGATAAAATATATTTTGATTTATGATTGTAAACTGATTTTAAGCGCGATTTTTGGAAGCAAAACTCAAGAGTTCGAAAAGTTTGATTTGATGGAAGAAGATTGATAAAAACTATGGATTTATGAAACGTTTCTAAGATTTAATAGTTTTTATGATATTCATAAATTATTTTACAGGGTAATTTAATGAGTTTGAAGTGGGTTTTAGTGTCAAAAAATGTTTTTTTTTAACCTTTTCGTGTTGAGGAGTAGTTTCATCGTAGAACATTTTGCTGGCTGCCACCAAAGCTTCAGGGTTGTATTTTCCGTCTTTGAACTAAAAAATAAATAAATTAGTAGAAATTGATCCAATATAAAAATTTTTCACCTAAATTATCCATAACACTTTGATTTATTATTAAGTAAGCCCGAAAATAGAAGTATACTAGTAAGGGGCTTTATCGTAACATTTTTTTTTTTATATTATTTTAATTATTATTAAATAATTATTACGATTATATTTTTTTTGAAATAAAATGTATAGATGCTATAACATTAATAGACTATTAGTAACTGATTCAAAAATGTAAGTTTTAATATGTTATCATATTATGTTCAAAATTCAAATTTAAGTTTTGTTTCAACAGTTTAAATAAACTAGTGGGGTGGGTGGCATCGTGCCTTAAGGCAAATTGCTGGAACTTCCCGTACCGTAACGAAACGTTCGAGGAATATTGAATGTTTTCAAATAGATTATTATAAATATTGTATTATTGTCTAATATTTATAAGAATTATATAAACTGAATTGCAGAGTTGAAATTATTTGTTTAAAAGTATTTAGAACTATAGTCAGAATTAAAAATAAAATTCTGAATTATTTTCGACATACAAAAATTAAAAAAAAAAAAAAAAAAAATGGTACAAATTTTTTTTTCCAAAATCAATTATTTTGTTAAGACAAGCAGAAAGTTCTTTGAATCAATTGAATCGGACGCTTAGTTTTTCAAAAACTGCCATTTTTGTACATTTAGCTCTGTATCTCCGAAATGGCTGGGCCTGCCTTTGCGAAAAACTAATAACCCTTTCTCCCAATCATTACTAATGGAATGTTTTTTAGATCATTCAAATCGGATGCTCCGTCTCTCTCAAAAACTCGATTTCTATTTTCTCTTGCACTCTTTGCTCCTTATCTCCGTAACTCTGCTGGACCTGTCTTTGCCAAAACTAATCAGCTCTTCTCCTTATTAATAGGAATCGAATGTTTTTTAAACCATTCAAATCGGTTGATCCGTACGCCCGAAAACGTGGACGAAAATTTGTATCCATACATACATACACACACACACACACACACACACACACACATCCATTTTTTCTGAGGTATGCCAAAACGTTCAGAAACCTTCAAAACGTCGAGAAATGTAAAAATTTTCAATTCCGATTTTCGGCCCATTACAATAACTTACCCTACGGGAAGTTAATAAAAAATACAAAAATTGTGAATTAATTTAAAATTAGCTATTTCAGAATTTGTAAGAAATTAATTAAAGTTTTTTACTGTTTTTAGAGATTTTTTTTTATAAAAATACTTACCACTCCAAAGTTCCTATACAAGCAAGCTCCAAAACATTTTGCTCCTTTGGATTCCAAAGGTACTTTAGTTTTTAATTCTTTGATTTCCTCTAAAATAAGAAAAAAAAAATTAGTAAAAAAGTGTATTTGTTGTTATAAATATTATCTAGTCATTTGAATCATTTAAAATAATTTTAATGCGTGGAAATGCGTTTCAATTAGGAGAAAAAAAACCAGGTATTTTGATTTTCTAACAAATTTAAGAAAAAATGCCTAAATATTAATTTTATAGCGATTTTTAAGATTTTAATTTTGCTTTTATTCATCGAGAATTTTACCCAAAATTAATTTACAAACTATGTATAAGAATTTCTAAATTAAATTAAAAACTAATTAAATATTTTATTAAATTCACAGTTTGATATGTCTATATATCGAATATTTTAAATAATTAGCTGATTTATCACAAATTTTAAATTTATAACAAAATTTTATAAATTTATTTAGGGTTTTTCCAGAATTGAATCTTGAATTTATAAAAACTCGTTCATATTTAGATGAAATTATAAATTTTTTTTCTTTTTAACGGAAAAAATAATAACTTAAAATCTAATTTGATAAAGTGATATCTAAGATTTTCATTTGTTCTTGTTCATCCAAAATTGTGATTCGAATTTAAGCTCAAATTTGAGCTAACATCTATATGAGTTATTAAAAATTAAATTAAAATGCAATTAATTATTTTATTACATGCATAATTTAATATACATATGTCAAATATCTATTTTAATAGCTGTATTTATCACATATTTTAATTTTTTATTAAAAGTCAAGAGAATTACTTAGGTTAATTATAATTAAATTTTTAATTTGAAAATAACTGTTCATATTTTTAATAGATTTAAAAAATACTTAAAAACTAATTTGATAAAGTGAATTTTAAATTTTTAATTTACTCTTGTTGAAAAAAAATTTTACTTGATTTAAGTATTTTTGTATGAATACTTATTAACCGCATTTATATATATATTATATATATATATATATATATATATATATATATATAGATATTTTCTCTCATTTTTGTCGAATTTATTAACTTATTAGCTAATAGTCGATATTAGCTAACACTCAAATCTAATATTTTTTATATTATAAATTCTGTTGTGTGTACTTTTCACATACATACTACCTGAAGAACAAAATTATCTAATATTATTCTAGTTAAAAATATATACTCGAAAATATTATTATCTCCTATTTTATTTCTAAAATCATTTTGAAACAATTATTTAAAATAATCCAATTATCGATGTTATTTGATCACAGTATACGAGGTCTGTTCAAAAGTACCCGGAATTTTCGTTTTTTCAAAAAAATATTTATTTATTCGTCTACATTAATGTGGTCCCCTTCAAGTAGTCCCCCCCAGATATAATACACTTATGCCAGCGTTTTTTCCAATTTTCGAAGCACCCTTGATATTCACTTTTTGATATGTCCTTGAGCACTCTCAGCGATTTTCTTCAATCGAGGAAAACCGCCGTCCTTTCATGGGTCTCTTCAACTTTGGGAATAGGAAAAAGTCACACACGGCCATATCTGGTGAATTTTTGCACTTTGCAACACTTTATTTTATTTCATTTTTTACGCAAAATTTAATACAAATTCTTTGACTTTTCAATTCTTCCATTGTAAAAATCGCCGAGCTCAGAAAAAACACGTCGAACCTTAGCGACTACCACAGACAAAGTAAACAGTGAATATAGCTGAAAATTTCATCATACTTTAGGGGCATGTATACCAACACAATAAAAAAATTTTTTTGACAATCAGACACTCCAGACCCGCGAATTTAATTATTAGTAATTCCGGGTACTTTTTGAACACACCTCGTATGTGTTTTGAATTTCTTTGCATTGAAATTGTTTATAAACTTTTACTAACAAACAATGGACGTGCAATAAAAACGTCAATTATAGTTATAACAAAAATTTAAACAATGAATTATTTTTTTATAGTTTATAGTTCTATAGTTTACCTTCGGTTGCTCCTGTTTCTTTGGCGCTTTTTTTTACAAGTTCTTGTACAGCTGCTTTTGCATCTTCTTTTGCTGATTCATCCTAAAATTACAAATAATAATAATTTATATAACTTAAAATTTGAAATTTTATAACTAATAACGACTATGTCCCAGCCACATTCATATGTGGCATGCGTTGCAGTGGGTAAACCATCAACTTATATACCATACCACTTCTACACATTCACAATCAGTTAATTTTCATACTTTTAAAAATAATTTATATGACAAAACAGTATTTGTTAGTTAGTTTTTATATGAAATAGTGTTTTTATTCAGTACATTTTAATATTTATAATACATATTAAACTAGGACTTAGAATTTGAGGTTTTAATAACATGTTAATGAAAAATATACTTATTTTTATATCGAGTAATAAATATACTTTGTTATTTTAATTGTCATTCAATCAAATCGTAGCCTAATAGAAGATAAATCATCATGTTTTAATTTAGTAGCCTTTATAGAAGATTTTTTAAATTTATTTAAGATTTAGTTATTTTTTTTGTTTTTTTTAACAAAAATATATATATGAAATAGTAATGAAGCCTTTGATTCATTTTATAATTGTGTTACTTTTTATACATATTTTTAAGAACTACCTAGATTTTTTATATCAAAGAATTCATATTTCATTTGAATTTCATAAATTTTGAAGTAATGTGTAATTTTCGTAAATAATCAATTTTTTTGAATTCTAAATTAGTAAACAGATATTTAACTGGTTGCCATTAGTAGTAAAAGTGGCTCTTCATTTATTTTATAATTTTTATCTATATCTATATCTTAATTATTATCCAAGCATCCAATTATCGAAACAGAAAATTCTCTAAGGGCAAATGTTCCAAAGGCAAATTATTTAAGGGCTAACTGCTTATGTGGTAAATTAAATTTTATATTAACATTTCAAAAAATTGATATTTTGAATAAGGTTTTTCTGTATAAATAAAACTACTTGCTACTTACTAAAACCATTTAACATTTGACGTATGAGCAGCCCTCTATTATTTTAATCTACATTAGGCTTCCACAAAAAATTTAAATTAAAATATAATTTTTTCACGCATTTTTGAAAAAATATAGTACAAAAGATGCGTCCTGGAGAGCTCCTTAAGCAGTCAATTAAAAGTAGGAACAGATATCGATGAAAAATATTATAAGTCAAATTATCTTCGAAAACGTGTCATTTTATTATTTGTCACTATAGTAGATATATTGATAAATATATAGAAAAATTTACAAGAATGTAGTATAAACGGTGCGTCCTGTAGAGCTCCTTAACAGTGACTACACCTTGCATAAGTAAGTTTGTAATAATTCACAAGCAGGTACAGATATTGAGGAAAAAATTTATAAGTCAAAATTTTCTTAGAAAACGTATCAATTTTATTATTTGCCACTATAGTAGATGTATTGATAAATATATAGAAAAATTTAAACTAATGTAGTACAACCGGTGCGTCCTGTAGAGCTCCTTAAAAAGTGACTACATCTTGCATATATAAATTTGTAAAAAATTAAAAGTAGGTACAGATATTGATGAAACAATTTTAGGTCAAAATTTCCTTAGAAAATGTATCAATTTTATTGTTCGTCACTATAAAGAAGTATTGATAAATATATTGAAAAATCAAAAATGTAGTACAAATAGTACGTCCTGTAGAGCTCCTTAAACAGTGACTACATCTTGCATAGGTAAAATCATCATCATTTTTTATTCATTGTATGAACCTTGTGTATATTTTTGTAATTATTAATATAAATTTAAAATATTTATCAGGCACCTTACAAACCTTAAAAAATACGTTTATACTGCGAACAATATTTTCACTAATTAATTAACAAAAATTAATTTTTATCACAACTCACCCCATAAAAAAGCTACTGCTACTGCTCCCAAACAACACAAACCACAGCTTATAACATTTTTAAAAAATTGTATAACACAATTATTTCAATTTTCAATCAATTATCTACTTATCTAATTAATCACCTTCCAAGTTAAATTAGAAGTGTTAAATAAGAATTCCTTGCACTACTTTATATAAGACTTTCAGCACTACCTTGAGAATTATAGTGGTGGACACTCTTTTTAATTCGATTATTTATCAGATTATTAAAAATTATACCTTGACTTAGTATTGACTGAAGATTGACGTTGATTGTTGTTTTGTGCAAGTACAATAATAAAAAATATTGTTTGATTTGATTTAAATAAACATAATTGTGTACAGGAGATTATTTTTAATGCTGTTTGTTTAAATAAATTAGTTATAAAACTGGTACAAAGGTAATAAATTACATAAATATGTTTTAGATTTTTATTGGGTAAAATATTAACTTGCAAAATTATCTAGTTTGGTAACTTTGCAAAATTAGTTAGTTTTAATAATAATGTATTTTTTTTTTAAATAATGTATATTTTGTCCTGCATTTTCTTATTAAACTATGATAACAACATACTTAGTTTTGGTCACAGAATATGATTATGGAACTTAACTGCGGAAATAATTATTTTGAGGTGATTAAATGAGTGAGTAATTAATTTTACAATAATTAGCAGTTTTTGCTATTTATTTTTAAATTTATTTCTTATGACTACAACATACTTAGTTTTGGTCACAGAATATGATTACGGAACGTAACTGCTTTCGAAACGTCGAAAATAATTATTTTGAGCTGATTAAATGAGTTAGTAATTAATTTTACAATAATTAGCAGTTTTTGCTATTTATTTTTAAATTTATTTCTTATGACTACAACATACTTAGTTTTGGTCACAGAATATGATTATAGAACGTAACTGTACTGCTTTCGAAACTCCAAAAATAATTATTTTGAGGTGATTAAATGAGTGAGTAATTTATTTTACAATAATTAGCAGTTTTTGCTATTTATTTTTAAATTTATTTCTTATGAGTACAACATACTTAGTTTTGGTCACAGAATATGAATATGGAACGTAAACTGCTTTCGAAACGTCGCAAATGATTATTTTGAGCTGATTCATTGAGTTAGTAATTACTTTTACAATAATTAGCAGTTTTTGCTATTTATTTTTAAATTTATTTCGTATGACTACAACATACTTAGTTTTGGTCACAGAATATGTTGATAGAACGTAACTGCTTTTAAAACGTCAAAAATTATTTTTTTGAGGTGATTAAATGAGTTAGTTATAAATTTTACATTAATTAATTAGCAGTTTCTGTCGTTTATTTTTAAATTTATTTCTCTTGTAATATTATTATTACTTTTACATTTTCTATTATGAAATTTCTTACAATTTTGTATTATTTCTCATCACTAATTGGAATAAAATATCTTATATCAAATTCATCGACAGCCAATAAATCTTACAATCATTGATCTTTAATTTATGTATTGATTTTTTGTTAAGAATTTTGCTACTCATTATAATTATATTTTCATTAATAATACTTATTTATGCACATTTTTAGTTGCTACAATTATTTATTATTATTAATTAAAATTTTGTTAAAATTTCAAAATTAATTTTTTTTCTTCTTTTCCTAAAATTAATAATAATCTTTCTAGAAAAATTATGACTAAATATTTTTACAATCTTTGTTATATAATGTTCATGTATAGATAGTGAAAAACCATGGACTTTGATTTTTTGAATGAAAATGTGCAAGTTATTGCAACCTTTTCAAGGAGCTCTGCAGGAAGCACCGTTTGTACTACATCTTTGTAAATTTAACAATACATTCATCAATATATAAACTGAAGTGAGAAATAATAAAATTAACACATTTTCTAAGAAAATTTTGACTTAAAATTGTTTTTATCAATATCTGTACCTAACTTTAATTTTTTACAAACATATTTATGCAAGACGTAGCCACTGTTTAAGGAGCTCTGCAGGACGCACAGTTTGCACTACATTCCTGTATTTTTTTTATATATTCATCAATATGTCTACTAAAGTGACAAATAATAAAATTAACATGTTTTTTAAGAAAATTTTGACTTATATAAAGCTTTTTATCAATGTACCATCATGATGTTGTATATATATGAAAGTAGTTGTATCCATTTGAGGAGCTCTACAGGACACACCGTTTGTACTACAATCTTATAAATTTACAAATATTATAAAATGATATATCTGCTATACTACCAAATACTAAATTTGATAAGTTTCTCAGCAAAATTTTGAGTTAGAACAAATTCAGTATATAAAATATACAAACACATAAATTCTGCAATTACACGTATATTTTATAGAAGTAAAATTATTTTTAATTTTTTTTTAGTATCGAAATAAATTCGATATGGCAGTTTTCACTATTATTGCTGTTTCATGACGGTGTCATATAATTAAAACATTTTCATTAATGATTTTCCTGTACTCGAATCAGATTTCGAACATGGCATTTCAAATAATAATTCTTAGAATTGAAACAACAGAATCATAAATATCAATAGTATAATACAAAGGTGATATCGAATTACATATAAGAAATTGTTATTATTATTTTATAATGGGACTGAAGACTTTGGTGTTATGTAATGGATATAAAATTTTGACATTCTTTAAAGATTTTTATAATCTTATCAAAATATCGATTTTTTTAAAAATTTTCTTAACTAGCATTTTTTTTGAAAATTTAAAATAACAAGTTTTTGAAACTTTGAAAAAAAATTCTAACTTTTCATTATATTCGGATTTTCTGTCCAGAACACAAACTTGAATTAATTGCAAATTCAATATAAATATTTTCACGTTTATAATTTGCTAGTTTAACTATAAATAAAACTACATGCTACAATTAAATAATATTCATCTATTCACCCTATTAAATTTAATTGAACATAATCCATCAAAACCATTCGACATTTGACGTATGAACCGCCGACTATTGTTTCATTTTAAATTAACCCTTTTTTCGTATATTGTTTATTAATATGTATATTTTATTTTTGAAAGATAGCTTAAGGAATCCGAAACATTGGAAATAAATACATAATTTCAACATTTTTTTTGTTTACAATTTAGATTTTTTCAAAAAAAAAACACAAATACATGCTAAATAAATATTTAAAACTCATTAATCAAATTTAAGTCAAAATAAATATAAACTCTATCGAAAGCCTTCAAATCCAATGATTTTTTCTTGAGTATTTTTGAAACCGGTTTAAAATATTCTAATTAGTGTCATTTTAATTAATTTACTTACTAATTTTTTTATGCTTATATTGTTATATTAATATAGGCAATTTAAAATTACTTTTTTGTGATTATTTTCTTTAAAAACTAGTTTTATCCTTTAACCTGCATAATATATAATTCGTTGGCAGTTGTAAATGAAATTAATCAATTCATAAAACAAATTATATATATAGTAGGATTAATTTATATATTTATATATATAGATAATATCAGATCAGATTTTTATGAAAAAAAACTGTACTTATTTGTAGAAGATAATAATTTATGATTACATATTTAATATTTAAAGAAGATAATAATTATGATTGAAATATAAAACACAAAAGAAAGTATACAGTAATTTTTCCCCATTAGTATGGAAAATATTAGCTGCATATTTTCTTCTGTTTTTCATATTTTGCTCATAATTAATTATTGATTTAATATATTTTTGATACAGAATTATTTCAGCTAGAATTTAAATGCTCACTTTATTCTTATTTGTAATGTTTTTGAAATAATTATTTTTTTAAATTTATTTTAGAATCATTTTTGTTGTGTCTTTTTCTAAATTTTAATACCTATATATATTTATTTATCATTTTGAAATTAATGTCAATTATTAATACCACATAGAGCAAAGTATATTTATCAAAAGTTAAGATTTATTCAATTTTATATCAGTTGAATTAAATTATTATATCAAATTTATATACAATAAGTACAGTCAGCTACTTTTACAATTACATTTAATACGAAAATAGAAAAGTGACTAATATTTATTCAGAATCTGTTTAATATCTTATCTTGATTTTTTACATATTTTTCACATAAATGATTTATTCCTTGTAGTAATGTAGATTGCAATTCATTCAGACCACTTCATTCAAGAATTCTAAATGCTAATGCATTGGAATTGATAATAAATTTTTTAAAATATTCAAAAATGAGAAAAAAGTCACTAAAGAATATTCATATTTAGTTTATACCATGTATTTTACTTTTATATATTTTTAGTGTGATATAATAATATGGTGCACACCAAATAGACATTGCTCAAATTAAATTTTATATATTTTTTTAACACTGAAGTCTATTTAATTTGATGCACTTATTACTGGAGAAGGTATTTTTTGACTTCCAAACAATTTAGATTTATATTTCAGATTACTACTGCTTGATACCAAGTTAGCCAAAATCGGTTCATCAGGATGCAAGGTCGTTTGCAGGGCTGAAGCACTTACTTCTGAGCCACGGTAAACCTATTTATTCCGATTATTCCAAAAAGTGCATCAAAATCTTCTACTTCCTCGTCACGTATGATGCAGGAATGATGGTGCATTTATTTGCATATAATAAAATGACATAACAACTATCTCGATTCATATTCTGGAGAGGATATGATGCCATTCCATCATGTAATATATTGTTTGGAAATTTATAATATAATATAATCAAATTAAATGCAATTAAAGTGCATTAAAAGAATATATGAGATGTACAAGACCTTGATCTTGAGATTGCAGTTTAAGAAAATTTACTAGATATTGTAGAAGAGATGGAAACTTATAATAGTAATCAGTATATTTTCGTCCGTAAGTCTAAATTGTTTAAATATTTCACAAATATGTTTATTTATTAAATTTTTGCTATTATGTCAGCAAATACTTCGAGTATAGTTAATTGTAATTATTATTTTGCTTGGGAAGAGCATATTGCGTAAAATAGAAGCGTTATACTTGACGTGGATGCTATAGCATTCATCGTATGTAATGAATAAATATAATAATCTGACTACCCTTATAAACGATGATTAATCAAATTTTGGATATCACAAAAAATTTAAAAATAAAATGACTGTTATTAATTATTGTATCTTGCTGAAACTTGTACTGGCAGTGAACGTGTTAATCAATAAGCATTATGATTTAGATAATTGAGATAAAAATTAAAAGAAACTTTTTTCTTAATTAAATTAAATTCAAATTCACGAGTATAATGATGTAGCAAAATCACTTGAATTTTTTATTCAAGATGCGTAAGATATGTAAATCGATTTTTTACTATAAAAAATATATTAGTAATTCTGTTTGCTCTTAAAATGTTGATTATATAATATTTTCGCATTACTGTAACCTTGATAAATACAATTTATTCCGCATTAGTAAAAGAATCTTACATTTTTTTCGCACTTTTTTCCTAAAGATTGCGTTTTTTATTCATTTTGAAGGACTGTGACCAAGATTTCTAATATTTAAAGACGTCAAAGTTAACATTGATATATATAAATAAATAGGAATAAATTATTATAATGCATGTTAATTTATTTAAATATTCGTTTATGGCCATTAAATGAAATAATACGTAATTATTTATTCAAATTTTTGTTTAGATAGATTTCTTTTCGTTTCCGAATTTCTTTGATCATCGTAGTATATTGCATTGCATAAAAAAGTTATTAATTTTATATAGCATACTATGCTAAATGTGATAATTTATACAAATTGCAGAATAAAATTGAATAAAAAAAATTATATACAACTTTTTTGACTATATGTTTTAGGTATAATAATAATATTCTTAGTCCTAAAACTTTTGAAATAATTATTTATACTATTGAGGAGCCAGGGACATTTTAAATTTTTTTTAATTAATATAAGCTGAGATTCCCTGATTATTCTTATACAAAATAAAGTATGGCCGATGGCTGTATTTATTCCTCTATTAAATGGAGTAAAAATAATTTCGTAACTATTGTTCATTATATCACAAATAATTATTTTCTAAGAAAGTACGAAATAAGATATATATCAAATTTATTAATTAACTTCCCCTAGAGTAAGTTATAGTAATGGGCCAAAAATCAAAAATGAAAATTTTTGCATATCTTAATATATTATGAATATATTAGTAACTAAAAAATTATTAATTATTAAATTTTATTTAATTTTTTTATATTAATAGTGTGATATAAAATGTGTAGAAACTTTCTTTACAAAATCGAAAATTGCTTTTCAAGTCAGTTTTCTTTTTTCATAAATATAGTTTTCTTGAAAAGTTGTTGGAATTATTTATAAACATTATAACAAACTTATATAAATTATCATTGTTGTTTTTTTTTAGATTTAGCACTTTAATTTAAGGCAAAACAAATTAAAATAAATAATGAATTTTATATAAAATTATTTATTTGAGATAAACAAATTTGTTTTTTCATTGATTTTTTTATCAACTTTTTATTAAACTTGAATTTTGAATTGAATTTGAATGAATTTGGATCATATAAATATGGAAATCTACTCTTTTTTTTTATTAAATATGTGAAAAAAACTTGTTTACTATGATTGTAAATAAAAAATTTTAAGATATTTAAATAACCTTCGACTTTGTTTCATAGAATTTTAAAAAATACCATTCATTTTCAAATAAATTTTATGGAAATATAAATATATTATTAAAACAAGTTTTCCACAAAATTATTAAATTATCATAGTATTATCAAAGTTATTTTAAATTTTATTCCTCAGATTCGACTGATATTAGGATAGTTATTAATATTAATTGAATATTATTCCGAAATTGTTATTAAATTTAAAAATGATATGTTGCAATAATTAACATAATATAATATAATATAATATTAATATAATATAATAATGCAAAATTATCATAATTTTCTAAAGAAAATACTCTCCAAATTAAGTTTAACTAAGACATAAGGTATTGTAATGAATTTTAGTTAATTATACCTTTATAATATTATTAATAATATTATTTACCATAATTATTATGCTAGAATTTGGTTTCTCAAAGAATAGTTAATTACAGGCTCCAATTCCAAAAGTTTGAAGATTTTTTGCATATAAATAAATACAGCAACAAGTTTCAAAATTTATTTACAAAAATATACAATAATTTGCTACTTAATATATTTTAAATATATATTTTGTTAAGGAAAAACATAATTATTTGGATCAAATTCTGTCATACATTTTAAGGTATTGTAGGCTGCTTCGCATTTATCCGAAAAATTCAAATCTAAAATAAAAAACAAATCATTTATAAAATTTTTAAATATTAATATCGAGTAGAATATAATTTTGTATATTTTATATAGATTTATGGTACTTTAGAACAATAATACATTGAATAGAGTATTTTCTTCTTTCCAGTTAATAATTCTTTTTCATTTTTAAAGTGTCTGACAAATTAATTACATATATGAAAATGCTAAGAAATATGTAAGAAATTACATATATGAAAATGGTAAGAAAAACAAATAGTACTTCTAATAAAAAGAAACAAATTATTGAAAATATTTATATTTTAAGAACATAATTTATAATTTACATGATTGTTGAGAGTGGGAAAGTGTAATTAAATTTGAACTAATTTATAGAAATTTAAAAAAAAAAGATGAATTAGGTACTACAAAATTTTTTACAATACTTTACAAATAAATGTATAAATTCATATAAAAGGGTAGCATAAATATAATTAAATCCAGAGACAAAACTATGTATTGTTGTACAGATTATTTTTCTGAAGATTCTAGTAATAAAATTTTTAAATTTTTATGCAAAATTTAATAGTAGCGCTATCTAAAACTTCGTACAAATAAAATTTAGTAAAGATCTTCACTCAGACTGCTTGCCAAAAATAAACTTAACAACTCACTCTATCTCTTGTAAAAAATATTCATTATGGTTTATCTACTAAAGATAATACAAACAAAATATTAATATTAAGCTAAAGAATAAATATTAAAATTTTCAAAAAGATGTTATATCCATATATCATATTTTTTTTGTAGAATTGGCATCTTATTATTCAAATTTTTTAGACTTTTGCCTTCTAACATATCTTCTGGTCTTTCATCGTTAACTAAATAATTGAAAATCTTTACAAAATTATTTTTTTTCACTCTAATCAATATGTTTATTTTTATAAGTATATTCTCACTTTTTTTGTAATTTTGCGGAATTCTCAATCACCAGAATTTATATTTATATATTATAATATTATTTTTACTTACGTGCATCTTTACAAGCCAAAATTTGAGCCTTGGTTGGCTCTTTCAATTCTTCTGGTAGAAAAATGTCCAGATTTTTGATTGCATCATCTACATTTGTCTAAAATACACAATTTTTAATAACAACAATTATATATATATATATATATATATATATATTAATATATTCAATTATGTATTTAACCTGATCATATTTCTAGGTACAACTATCATGTTCTATTTGGAACCATAAAATCATGTATTACTAATATCGTTAGATAATATATAATTTTATACAAGGAAAAATATACATAAAAGAAATTACACCAGAATTTACTTAATTATGATTAAAGTGATAATTTTCCTTTATTCCAAAGTTTTCTTTTATTTAAAAAAAAAAGATTATTACATATAGGGGAAGAGAACTCAATTTCTGAGAAAACAAGAATTTCCAAGGGAAAACAGGAATTTTAATATTATTGACTCATTTGTTGAATTTTATTTTAATATTTAATATTAATTTCATCTTTGATAAGATAAATATAATCAAATTCCACTTATGATAATTAACTGAAAGTCATCATCATGATTTAACAATTAGTACAAAATCTTATCATATTTTAATTATTTATTAACTTCCCGAAGGAGAAGTTTATGTTCTCATCAAAAAACCCGATTCGCTAATTTTATGTTTTCTCGACGTTTCAAGCCATTCTGAATCGAATGAGACCAAATTTGGAAAAAGTATGTGTGTGTGTGTGTGTGTGTGTGTGTGTGTATGTGAACAGATTTTTTGCCGTAAATCGACGTTTTCTCGAAAACGGCTGGGTCGATTTCAAAAATTTAAAAGCCATTCGATGTATCTCGACGAGAACTATTGTTTGTCAGTTTTGTGCGACGATCGGCCAAGCCGTTTCTTCATAAATGGCAGAAAAGTGAAAAAATTTTCGTCTACGTTTTAGCCCGCAATTCTGAATCAATTTTGAAAATTCAAAAACCGTTCGAAAGATATTGGTTGGGAATCGTGCTGATTAGTTTTTGGTAGAGATCGGTCGGGCCGTTTTCTTGTAATAAAGTTTTTAAAAAAAAAATTTCGACGATTTTTATGATTATTTTTTTGACGATAGATACCATAGTCTTCTAGATCATACTAAAATATTACGGCCCTACGACAACTGGTTCAGCTTTAAAAATTCGTCAAAGTTTGCAAAAATCAGTATGGTCTTTTTGGCATTTGTCAAAATTAGACTTTTGATCGACGTTTTCTCAAAAACGCCTGAACCGATTTTAGAAATTTAAAAGCCATTTGATGTATTTCGGTGAGGACTATCGTTTGTCAGTTTTGTGCAACGATCTGCCAAGCCGTTTCTTTGTAATTTGAAAAAAACTTTTCGTCCACATTTAAGCTCATCCTACCGAACGATTTTAAAAAATCAAAAACTGTTCGAAAGATATTAGTTGGGAATGATACTGATTAATTTTAGGTGAAAATCTACCGAGCCGTTTTCTTGTAATTAACTGTTGAAAAAAAAATTTAAGCCGATTTTCATGGAATTTTTTTGGCGATATACATCATGGTCTTATAGAACTTACTGTAATATTACGGCCTAACGACAAGTAGTTTAATTTTAAAAATTCGTCAAAGTTTGCTAAAATTATTATCGTTTTTTTTAAAGTAGGATTAATGAAGTATATTATTTACACTTTTTTTTATTAAGTCGATTATTTACACATTTCGGGAAGTTCATGTAACTTGCCTCAAGGCTAAATACCAAACCAACTAGTTTTTTATTTAGCTTGACGCATATTGTATATTTTTTTTGCATACACTTATAAATAGTATTATTAAAAATAAAAAAAATCTAATTAATTAATAAATAATTACTTTAAGTTACTTACCGAACGTGTAAAGTTCATCACGCATCCAACGTAGCACTAAAATAATAAAATGAAAATATTAAAAAAATATTGAATTAAAAAACACGAATCAACATTTCTCATATATATTTAAAAACTAACAATTAACATTTCCAGTAAAATTTAAACTAGTTGTAAGTGGCACTTTGCCTTAAACATTCTTCCAACTTTGAACCAAAACGATTTAGATGCTTTTAAATCAAATTTGATTGAAAAAAAACAAGAGAAAGTCGGATTTTCTGGCAAAACCATAAACTTGATAATTATCACCATTATGAAAACACTCGTGGCATTTTTTATATCAATAATAAAATGTTCTCTATTGATCTTGAGCCATAAATCACGAGATCTGATTACAACATTCTTAGAAATAATCTTGACCATCAACTCTTATATAATTATTATCATTATTATAATTAACAATATTTATAAATAAATAAACTTACCATGAGATCGTGATCCTGTGGAAATTTTCCTTGTCTCATTCCATCGATCAGTTCTGGAAATTGTTAATAAATTATACATAACATTTGTAGAAGATAGTTTAAATAATTTATGCATTTATGCATTTACATAATTATAATATCTTGTAAATAAGTGATCGGAATTTTCTTATATATATATATATATATATATATTTTATTTATTTATATATGCAAAATTTACCTGAGCTTACGTTATATTTAGGTTGACAAATTCTTCGAATTAATTTTTGATTTGCTTCTAGTTGTTTCATTGTTACTTTCTGAAAATAATTAAATATCAACATAGATATATATTATTAACATTATTCAAATAATATCTCATTTTTAACTATAAAATCATGTATTACTAATATCGTTGGGCAATATATAATTTTATACAAGGTAAATATATATGAAAGAAATTGCAACAAAAGATGCATAATTATGATTAGAGTGATAATTTGCTTTTAATTCAAAGTTTTCTTTTATTAAAAAATGTTAAAATTAAATTAAATGTAAATGTTAACATATTATTATTATTGGTTCCAAAAATATAACTCACCAACCAACATTTATACTTACAACTTACATCTACACATTTATATTACTACTAGATTTTTTATTTATTTATTTTTTTATTTTTTTTACTTTTCTTACTTTTATATTTTTTTAGGGTTGTTGTACTTTTTGGGTGAATACGGGGCAAAAAGTGCCAAAAATAAAAATATGGTGCAAAAAGTAAGTACCATAAAACTTAATATTTCATTTCTATTGACGATATGAAACTTAGATGACTTTTCTTAGAAGGCAGGTCCAGCGAATTTGGGGATGCAGAAAAATTGCAAAATTCACATTGGTTGGTCAAAAGGATTTTTATGAATCATTATGTATTTCAGACTTTTTATTTATATACAAATAGAATTATTGATAAATAAGTAGACAGATAAAAAAATATGGTGCAAAAAGTGCCAAAGATGAAAAAACTGGTAAAGGTGAAAATATGGTGCAAAAAGTGTTAAAAATGGAAATATGGTGCAAAAAGTGCCAAATATGGGGCAAAAAGTGTGAAAAATGAACATACTGTGCAAAAAGTTCCAAAGATAACAATATGATGCAAAGAGTGCAAAATGTGTCAAAGATAAAAATACGGTGGAAAAAGTGCAAGAAATGAAAATATGGTGCAAAAAGTGCCAAAAATAACAGAAAACAATAATTCATTTCTATTGACGATATGATAGATAACATTTTTCCGAAGATAGGTTCAGCAGTTTTGGAATAGCTGAATCTCATTAGTGGTAAATGCCACTTACAACTAATGCATTTTTTTAGGATAAGTTATAGCAATCGTCCAAAAATCGAAAATCATATTTTTGCATATTTTTACGTTGTCTTTGTGCGTGTATGTCTGTTTGTGTTCGTGTGTGTGTGTGTATGTATGTGTGGATCCAATTTTTCGTCGACGTTTTCGGGCGCACAGATCAACCGATTTGAATGATTTAAAAATTCAATTTGTAATGATGGGAAGAAGTGGTGATTAGATTTTGGCAAGGCAAGTCCAGCCGTTTTGGAGATACGGAGCAAAGAGTGCAGAAAATACAAATCGAGTTTTTAAGAGAACAAAGCATGAGATTTGAATGATCCAAAAAAGATTCCATTCGTAATAAAGGGGATTAGTTTTTGGCAAAGGCAGATCTAGTCGTTTTGGAGATACCAAGCTAAAAGTGCAAAAAATTGCAGTTTTTGAGAGAACTAAGTATGGAAAATAATTCGGATTTTATGTTTGATTCTAGCTAAAGTTCTTAAGCTCGCTTATATACTTTAAATAAATAATTTTAACGTTGCAATTCAGTTTATATAACCCCTCAGAAATATGAGATAAGGACCTTTATTCTAATTCCGTTTGATAATTTATTATTTTTCATGTATCAACGTCATCGTTCAATCGATACATTCAATATTCCTCGAATATTTTATTACGGTACGGGAAGTTCCAGCAATTTTCCTTGAGGCACGATGCCACTAGTTTCGAAATTTAGTGAATTTTTGTATGACAATAGAGTACATGGTCTTGTTAAACATATCAAAATATTAAGCCTAGAAAAAGTGGTTAATAATTAAAATTTGAATTTTTAAAAATACTCCGTGTATGTATTAGGCACGTACGTATTTGTTTTTTTAATAATGTTTGATAAAAAAAATGTACAAAATTATAGAATAATCTGCAATAGTTTCTCACATTATCACTCATAAATTAATATATTAATTTCTTATCGGTTAAGACAATTATAACTTGCCTTAAGGAAAAATGCCACTTACAACTAGTATTTATCCACGTTTTGGCAAAAAATCTTGAACCGATTTCAAAAATTTAAAAATCATCCTAAAAATGTCATTTGAAAATCATACTAAAATTACTTTAGGACCGGGTGATTCTTTGTGATTTATTATCGGTTAAGACGATTATTTACACATGTCGGTAAGTTCATGTAACTTGCTTTAAGTAAAAATGCCACTTACAACTAGTATTTATCCACGTTTGGAAAAAATTCTTGAACCGGTTTTAAAAATTGAAAAATATCACTAGAGAATCGTACTAATTAGTATAGGTCTTAAGGTAAAATGCCACTTACAACTAGTTGTATAATATACTTTAAAACATTCATACCTGTCTATCTATAATTTAAAATTAGCGCCAAATCAAACACCAAAAATCTTTCCTCCTACCCTCACCATAGATAATCCACCCCGGTTCAAATAGACACCCCTACCACTCCCACGCAAACAATTTCAAATTTTCAAATTTAAATTTACCGCTTAAATTTGCAATCGACTATCAATTATCGATGTCTCATCTAATATTACCAAATTGCACTATCTTTGTCCCTTTCATTCTCAAATCTGCTGTTGCCAAGGGCATTTCTTTTCGGTGCAAACGCGGAGGAGGACGGACGTGTTAAAAAAATTAATTAATTAAAAATCCGTTGACATCGGTCGTAATTGTTAATGGTTATTGAATATTAATATTAGATAATTGATTAAATTTAATTTGTCACAGGTGCGTTTTGGTATTTGGGTAAAATTTGGTGCGTTTTTGGGTTTTTGCACGTGTTGGGTTCTTGAAGCCGATTTTATGCAAGGTCATCAAAGAAGACATTATATGGAACGTTGTTTGTATATAGTTAGTTAATTATTTTATTTGTTTTTATACGTTTCACGAATTATATATATATATATATATATATATATATATAAACCCGACGAACTCCGTTTCGCCACCAGATGGTTTCGTGAGAAAGATGGAGAAATTTTCTGTTTGTTTTATATTTGAAAAGGAAAAATTTGATTTTATTACACAACAGTAATGAATTTATTTCGATTACAAAAATGAAGTGTTTTTTAGTTGAACTTCTCTAAGTAAATGGAAGTGAATCCGCAAATTATCCGTTTCATTGAAGTGCTCTTTGGTAAACCACATTTTTTGTTTTTTGGTCTGACGATAACACAAACAAAGCGGATGGTTTTCCAATTAGTGAACAGGCAACGTATAACTGCCCATGTGAAAAACAATGATTTTCTAAATAATCTATTTGAAATTTATCCCGCAAACACTAAGCGATTGGCCTTGCGACTTGTTATTGCGAACGCAAGGCGAATTGGAAATTGCAATCGTTTGAAGTCAAACGGAAGACCAGTCGGAATCATTGGTATGTCACCAAATCGCCAGCAATTTTTTATTGAATGGTTAAATTCAGTGCGTGTACATCATTATGGTTTGCGGCAAGAATTGCTCGTTGACTTAATTGCAAGCATAATTCTGATAATTCTCACTAATGTCATCACTCGAATTTTAAATTCAAAGAGTTTATCTCCAATGAATAACCTCCTTTTTTGACATTTTATTTAAAATCGTATGGCAATTTTTTCTAAAATATATTACTAATTACTAAATATTAATTTATTATCTTAATAGTACTGTTATTTTATTATTTTCAAAAACAAATGTGTTTTTTTCTTTGAGTAAAGTTAAATGCAAATTCTCATTTGTGCAAGCGTTGTATACAGAGAAAGTCATCTTGTTTTTGTTAATTTATTATTTCCATATAATTTAGAATTTTATAAATTTTATAAAAATTAAGGTTTTGTTATTGTACTAATTTTTTGGTAATTATTTACCATTTTAGTAGTGTAAATTAAAATTACGATTTTTATAAATTCAGTATTGTCGTTTTTGTTTCACATTTACTAGTTACTTATTTTATATTTATATTACAGTTATTTATTTTCCTTTTATATTTACCTTCCATTATATAAGTTCAAATTAATTTTAAATATTTTATCAAAAAACCTACTACATTATTTGTTTCTCTTCAAAATTGTGCAAATTGCGAAACAGTGTTTTATACTTTTGGTGTAAAATTTTATTAATTTTAAGTATGTAAAACAATTTTTTTCGTCGCATAAAATTGGCTTCTAGGACTTTTTTTTAAACAATTTATATTTTTACAACATAAAATTAAAAAAAAAACATTCGCATTGCTTTAAAAAAATCTCGTTTTTTTATATAAAATAAATGTGTTTAAAATAAAGTGTAGTGAAATAAAATAAAGTGTTTGTTGGTTGTAAAGACTTATAAAGTGTGTATATATAAAGACTTATAAAAGACTGATAGTGTCTGATACAAAGGATTTTACAATTTTTTGTGCTGAGATCCTGATCAGCTCTCTTCTGGAAATCTGGAGGTAATTTTTAACATTTTTAAATTTATAATCAAAATTTTATTACAAATGTAAAACAAAATAATATTCAGAAAGTCTGTAGTCAACAATTTTATCTCCTTAAAGAATTATATGACGAAATATATTAGAAGTGTGTTTAAAAGTAATAATATAATCACATACTTTTAACATGTTAATTGTTATATGTGTCTGACGCTAAGAAGTTCTATATAAGCTATGTCAGTCATATATGTGGTATTTTTTCTGAAACAAATAATTTCCTTGATATATTTTCAACTAAATTATGTGATAAAGTTACAATGACCTATGAGAATATCTGACTTTTTTTTTAGTTTTTGTGAAATAACTCTGAAAGTTTATATAGGGGCACTCTTTTTCAGTTAGATACGGTGAAACTAGATAAAATTTACTAAATTTCAATGTAAACAATTATATACACTCTGATATAAAAGTTTTGAATGAAACGACTTTGTATTCGATATTTCAGACTTCCTCAATAAATGGAAAATTTGGAACATTTTTCTGGTTAATAAAAATAAAAAAAATAATGTTCTCCAAACCTTTAAGTCTTTTGCATGATTTCTAGAGCAAATTTTTGTTCAATTAATTTAGAAATAAATTTAATGATTAATTTGTTTTTTTTTTCTATTTTAGACAACAAATTGGTAATCTGGATGTTTCAGAAGAATCGGTGCTTGTTCGCGTTTGGTGAGTTTTTTTTCAAAATTCTAAGCTTGCTTTTTTGGATGGTATGACCAAAAATCGAATTCACAAAATTAAAAAAAACATAGGTACACAAATCTACATTTAAAATCCCAATCAAACAATTTATTTAAAATTTGTAATATATTTATTTTTTGTATGGAAATTTTGTGAAAACGATACACAGATTGTCTATATGTATATGTATGTAATTTATTTATAATTTATTGTTACTTCAGTAATTTTTGTTGTAACTTTTAACTAATATCCTGCAAAATTATACAATTGACAATTACATACATATATACATACATAAATTTACAAAATACAATAATAATTATTTAAATTTTGCATAAATTTAGGCAACAAATAAATATTTTTCTATTCCAACTGAAGTCATAATTTTTTGTATTACTAGTATATCTTCTTAAAGAAAACATTTCTTAAATATTGAATTAAAAAAAATCAAGGTACATTTTAAATTTTTTATTAAATAATTTCTTACAATATTTATTGTATTTTGTATATAAGTCTGTCTGAGTTTGGTTAAGGGTGGTAGTCAGGGTTAATATTGTTAATATTATTAGTTAGATAGTTTGGACAAGAATATGGTCATACCATTTTATATATATATATATATATATATATATATATATATATATATATATATATATATATATACATATATATATATTAACATGTATTTTTTACAGCAGTGTTAAAATAAAAAAATTAATTAAAATTTTTAAAATAGTGCAAATATTCATAAAATTCGCGTAAATAAAAATGTCTAAGCAAAAAGTGTTTATGTTAAATATTTCTCATGTAATTTCGCGTAAAAAATTGTGAATTAAAAGTAAGAATATTATATATTTTATTTTAATTTAAAATAAGGTAAATAATGATTATTTAAACAAAAAGTGTTCAAAAATATTTAAAGTGTAATTTCGCGTAAAAATTAGTGAAATGTGTTACGAAGAAATGTTTTCTTGCAGCAAATTCTGAGGTAAGATTCATTTATATATATTTAAAAATATAAAATTTTTACATATATTTTTATTAATTATTTTATATCATTATATTAATTATAATATATTAACTTTCATACATTTTCGAAATTTTTAATTTATTATAAATATATGCATTTTAACTAAATTTTGTACCAATTGCTTTTGTACTGAATTTTGTGGACAAATACTTTGTTTAGTTTTTCAAGAAATATTTTTATATATTTTTATTAATTTATATTAAAAGTACATAAAAATTTATCAGTTTAATTAAAGTTTTAATATGAATATTTCATTCAGTTTAATTTTATAATATGAATAACAATTTAATAATATGAATAATAATTTAATTTTTTTTAATATGAATATTTTTGTTTTGTTTTCAGAATATCTTGTTCCAAGATTTTATGGATTTTAAGGACATCTTTAAGGATTAATTCGATTCTTTGGATTTAAAGGTAGGATTTTTTGAAATAATTTATTAGATACCAGTTTATTTATTTATATGTTTTGATATTTTAAATTTTAAATTTCCCCAATTAGTCCTTCTCGTTTGTATTGAATGTAATAGGATCTATAATCTTGTTTTACAAAAAGGATATTTTATAACAAAACTCAGGATAATTGCTAAAAAAATGAAGTATAAAATTATATATATATATATATATATATATATATATATATATGTATGTATAAATGTAGCCAATTGAATTATCTGTATTTGTTTCTCACAAGGTATTTGGCTAAAAAACCTTGGTATTTGGCTAAACTATTTTGCAACAATTTTTGTGATTGAAAATTCTCTTCAAAATTAGCTCTTCTCTTAATTTTGTTCATTTTAAATCTTAAGTTAAAGCTTAGAGTATAATATAATAAAAAAATGGTCAAAATTTGGAATGTTATTTAAAAAAAAATTGTCATCGAAATTTTCAAATTAAGGAAAACACTTAATTAATTTCAAAATTATTTGAAAACTTAGAAATTATGTGCATTTGAATATTTGTTGAGAATTATGTTTATATGTTTATTTTAAATTTTATTTTATTAGATACTTTGTTTATTTGAGATATTTTTTATTCGAGAATTATTTGAATTTGTTTGTAAAAAATCTACAAACACCAAAAAACTATATTTAATACACAAAATTTTATATACCAGATATTTTTTATACTCAAAATTTTAAATATTCTAAATCCTAAGTACTCTAAATTTTGTTTATTCTATGTTTTGTATTTTTACACATTTAAATTTTTACAAATTCCAAATTTGGAGTGTTTAGTATATTTAAAAATTTCATATGGAGTATTTGAAATTTATTTAATAAATATGAAACTATTTGCATATAAAAATGATTTAGATAGTCGAAATTTTTATGTTTTTGTTTTTTAAATGGATAGTATTTTAATTTTCCTACATTATACCTTTTTTGTAATTGAGTATATATTGAGGATTCTAAATTTTTACTTATTAAATAAAATATTATCTTCAAAATTACGAGTAGAATACAACTATATAAACAGTTCGTCTTGAATTAAAAAATATTTAATAATTTAAAAAATATATGTTCTTTAAAAGTGAAAATAAAATATATATAAGTATATATATATATATATATATATATATATATATATATATACGTGTTGAGATAAAAACTATTTTTAAGAAATAGATATAATTGAATTATTAATAAAAACAACACTCAATATAATTTAATACACTCTCGATTTTGCTTAGTATAAACATTAATATTAAATACAAATATCTAAAATAATATTAATATAAATAATTATGTTAATAAATTTTTGATAAATATAAAATCTTCTTAAACTTACCCCTTCGGTCAAACCACACAAAACCACAAAACCAACTACAACCAAAATTATTTTAACCATTTTGTACTTAATAAATAAAACAACCTAACAAATTATTTAAAACAAAAACTACTAATTAAATTTTTACTTTTATTTATTTATCTATTAATAAATTAAAATTAATTCGATGCAATGTTCAAGGATGAGATCTTAACAACTTATGTCGAAGAAGATCACAAGATCCTCATCTTATATAGAATGCAACAGCAAACCGCGATTTTTATGAGATCTATACAATTGTTTATTGATACATTATTATTTAGCAGAGGTGGACAAATACAGGTCTCTGATTAAAAAATCATTTAGCATAAAATTAATAAATTTATTTTAATAATTGGTTATTTAATTATATATAAACTATTTAATTACCAATAAATTGTTGTTGATGAACTTAAAGATTTATATATATATATATATATATATATATAAAATATTTCATTGTTATATTAATATTATTCATGTTATTTTTTCTAGTAATTTATATTTATGTTTATTAATTTAATCATTATTATTTTTGATTTTGTTAATCGTATGCATTAAACTAATTTACTGAGTTGTCATATATATTATATGTATACAAACAAAACTAGTTTACACTACAATTGTAAACTACAAATAAATAATATTCATCTAAAACATCCTATTAGAAATAATTGAAAATCATCTGGTAAAAATCATTTGACATTTGACGTATGAGCCGCCGTCCATTGTTTCATTTTAAGTTACGCTTCTACAAAAAAATTCAAATTAAAAATGTAAAGTTTTTACGAGATTTTGAGGAAATTTCTCACCTTTTGCACAACCTTAGCACGAATTTTTCAAGACTAGAACTGGCCAAATCGGTTCAGCCGTTTTAGAGCCTTTCTATACCTAACATTTTATCGAGTTCCATAAGATTATAATAATAATCATTTTTAATTTATTAAATTTATGATAATATTTAGCTTAAAAGCATAATTTTTGACACATTCTATTTTGTTATATTTTTGATAAATAGTTCATTTTTTCTTAATTTGAGTATGACTTGGAATATCTTTACTTTCTATTTAGTAACAATAAATTTTATTGGATTTTTGTCATTATTTTTCATAATTGTTAGTTAAAGTAAAATTCACTTTTCTGTAATATAAAATGTATAAAGTCGAAGTTCTAGTTAGTTTTCGTTTTTTCGTATTTCATAAAAAAGTCGAACCAATTTTTATCGAAAATATTTTTTTAAGAAAGATTTTGTTTTAGGTTTATATTTTATTCAAGCTATTCTGATTGAAATTAAAAGAAAAACTTGGTGCTAGTCGCATTTAGCCTCTTGGTGCAAATAGGACTGATTGAATTATCTACTATTATGAGTGAAAAAAAAAGCTTTTAAGTGATTTTTAAGCATTGCAAGTTGCTTTATGGCTTTAAGTTAATTTTAGAAACTATTGCATATTATTCAATTTTGTAGAAATTTGCCAAACATACTATTTATATTTGAAAAATAATTCAAATGCTATAATTTAATTAATAAATAAATAGTCACTAATACGAACTCACCTTTTAAATTTCCAAAATCTAATTTAAAAGTTAAAACATTAAAATATTTTACACATTTTTGCTAATGTAAAGAAAAATATTGACAGTTCATCTTGAAAAGTTAAGTAATGCAAGCTTTTATGCAATTCCATCAAATCAAATTTTTTAGACTTTTGGATTAGAATTGGATTTTCTAACAATAACAAGAATATAAACTAATTGTTCAGAAAGTTGAAAAACTTTTTGCTGATAATTATTTAAATTTGATTTAACTTTAATAGATTGAAAATATGTATTATCTATATTTTTACATTTGTTCTGATATTAGTATAAACAAATATTATTTTAGATTTGCTTATTTTTAGTAATGAAAGTTCACTACATTTACTACTAATACTATATTTGGTGCAAAGTTCGATTTTTAAATTAAATTATTTAAATAAAACTCACAAATTAAAAACCTTATATATAAATAAAATTAAATCAATCTGTTTTAAAAGCAAATTATCATGTAATTATTCATTTTGCATAATGAATTTCCATTGTATGTATAATATTTCAATGCAATTGCATAACATTCATATAGTAATTTATCTATTTATTCTACTCAGCAAAAATCGCGAATTATTAATGATTAAACTAGGTGTAAGTGGCATTTTGTCTTGTGGCAAAAAATGAATAAATAATTCTACAGTAATTTATCTATTTATTTTACTCATAAAAATTGCAAATATACATTAAACTAGGTGTAAGTGGCATTTTACCTTATGGCAAATAAATAAATAATTCATTAGATTAAATTTCTGATGAAAATATGACCAAACTCCTTCAAGAAATTTAAGAACTTCGATACTTAAATTTTATATTGGAATTCGAGTTCTTCATTCAAATGTGTAATCAAGTTTTAAAAAAAATGTATTTAAAAATGAATAATAAATTACATTTTACCTGCAAAAAATCTAATTGATACTTGTCTGTGCAAAAAAGTTGCCTGAGCAAAGAAAACTTTCTAAAATATTTTTTTAGGAAATATATTACAATATTCTCTATTTTCCTAAAGATTCTTGAAATTCTATTTCACCTTACTATTAGCTATTTAATACAAATCTTGAAAATGTTAATCCCAATCTTCATAATTTTATTTAAATTAAATTAAAATTCAATTATTAGTCCTTGACCAGTGGTTAATTTTTTGTGAATAAAAAAACTGCTTTGGTCAGGGATTTCCGACAACATTTTTAATTTAAAAGAATTTTGTCGGTCAATTTTATAATTTTTTTGTAAACAAATATTCATCGAAGCAATCATATTCCAATTAGCAGCAAAATTTTGAAGAAATCACAGTCTGAGATCGTGCGTCAACTTATATAAATATGAATTTTAATTTGAAATTTGAGAAGTAATAAAACAACTTGAATTTTACATATTTTTATTATTTGTGTCAGGAATGTATGACAGATATTTTGACTGTGTGAACTCTTTTTACTTATAATACTATTCATTTTTATGAAGACTTATTTACCTCAATTTTTTGTTCAAATTTTTGGAACCAATTTTCTTCTAATTTTAAAATTCTTAATGCAGAACTAAAAAATGCATGCAACTCTAAATTTTCACCCTCTCTCCACAAATATTGATTTTATAATAATAGTTTTGGAACCAATTTTTCTTTTAATATTAATTTTCATAATGCAGAACTGAAAAATGCATACAACTCTAAATTTTCACCTTCTTTTCACAAATCTCTATTTTATAATAGCCATTTTAGTAATCAAATAATTCTCAGAACACTTTCAGTTAGTTGTTGTTTTCTACTGAATTTTAATTCATATTTTTATGACCTTAAGATATAACAAATTTTATTAAAAAAGAAAAAATTATCTAGGGTTGTCTACCCCATGCAACTACATTTTAGAAATGATTTGCCTAAAAGGCGATTTTTGCAGAAAAATCAGAGATATTGAATATTAAATAATAATAATATTATTATTTAATATTCTATCTTATAATATTTTATCAAAATCCTGGAATCTTAAATGTGCCAAATTGCCAATATTTTCTTTGTTTGTTTTTTTTTTGTTTCACCACAATGACGTCAAATAGAGGTTTTGGTCACGTTTTTGCCGATATTCAATTTAAAGCTAATAAAATTTTAATTAATCGACTGGAATTAATTTATTTGACTAATTATGTCTTAATTTTATAATACTAAATTTTTTATTTTTTTTTATCTTTGAATTCTATGCATTTCAAACCGCAAAGATCAAAGTTTAAAAAAACGTTTATATTTTATGACGATGCATTCGATAGTCGGAGAGCATAAATTAAAAATTATACAAAAAACATTATGTAATTTATTAACTTATTGATTTAATTTTATAATAAATATTTATTTATTTATTGTTTGTACCAATAATAATAATAAATAGTAATAATAAATTTTAAATCAATTCTGAATGAATTATATTTTGGACACTGTCATAAATAATAACACATAAATGCTTTTTTGTATAAGATATGTGCAAAAATTTTCCGAAAGACGATATAGAAATATTCTAGTTGTTTTTAATAAAAGTAAAATTTAATATCGACGATTTTAAACTAATATCTTAAGAACTTTGATAAAACTTATATTGACTTTATATTTCAAGAAAAATATGAGTATACTTCTATAATTGTAGACAATTGATTAAATGTTTTACTAAATACTTTTATACCACTTCTAAATAAAATTTAAGAAAGAATAAATAAATGAAATTCGAATAGAGTATGAATATAAATTTTGAATGAATAAATATTCAATAATTGTTAGATTTCTAAAACAAATATTTGTCAATGCATATAGAATATTATAAGAATGTTTATAATACATCAGTTTATTTAAAATCATTAAAATTAGCCTCTTCTAAAATTATTACTATGCCGAAATTTTACTAAAGTAGTTAAAGTTTGAATTGAGTGAAAAACCATAGACTATATATATATATATATATATATATATATATATATATATATATATATATATATATATAGTCTTTGATTTTGTAACATTTTTCAATTGAGTGAAAGATGTAGAAATTTTTAAGTTCCTATAGGGCAAGTTATAGTAATCTCAAAAAAATTGAAAATGAACATTTTCATATATCTACGTTTCAGAGGTTTCTGAACATTTTGGTATACCTTAGAAAAAATTTAACGTATTTCGGGAACACGGATCAACCGATTTGAATAATTCAAAAAACATTCGATTCGTATTGATGGGGATACGTGCTGATTAGTTTTTGGCGAAGGCAGGTCTAGCCGTTCCGGAGATACGGGGCAAAAAGTGATAAAAACAGTAACTCAGTTTTTAAGAGAACGGAGCGTCCGATTTTAATAATTCAAAAAACATTTTACATGTATTGACAAGATGAAGAACTGATTAAATTTTTGGAAAGACAGGTCCAGCGGTTATGGACTCTTAATAAAAAAAGTTAAAAAAATGTCATTTGGCGGTCAAAAATGTTTATTGG